GAGATTTAGCAAAACTTGAGCATAGATTGACATGTTTTCCTTCTGCTGATGTTTGTCCAAACACAAAAACCGACAAATGAAAACATTTGTGTTTGTTTTTGCTGTCAGTCACATATTGAGTTCACATTGAATAATTACATCTCACGGGTAGCAGTTTTGTTCAGTTTGACACTGCCTTGTAGGCTTTTTAAAGGGTCATGAAACAATGCAACGCAGCCTGTCATTAATAATTAAGTGAAGCATCTTCTAAAAAGATAAACAACACTGATGTGTTGCCATCGATAACCGGTCACTATTTGCCAGCACACATCCTGTGATCCTCCACCTTCACAGTATAAAAGGATCACACAAAACACATATGAAAGGTTCTACACAAATTTTCTATTAAAATTAAAATTATGTGAATATGCAACACTACTGTTGAAATGACCATTGTTAAAGTGTAATAAGTATTTATTTTTTCCATTTTGTGTTTTTAGTGAAGTTTATTTATAAGCTAATTTCGAGAGGAGCATGTGATTATGATTGAGTACAGCTAATCCAGCATTAACTAACGCAGAGTTTCTTACTACAGTTATCTTCGCCCCCTTTCACCCCTACTCCTCCACCTTTCCCTTTATAGGACAGCACGGTGGCCCAGTTGTTAGCACTGATGCCTCACAGCAAGAACGTCACTGGTTCAAATCATTAACAGGCCAGTTGTCAAGTGTGCGAATTTACATGTTTTTCCGATGCTTGCATGGGTTTCCCCTGGGTTCTCTAGTTTCCTCCCACAGTCTAAAAACATGCGGCATAACTAGGGCTGCACAATAAATTGAAAAAAAGATTGCGATCTCGATTCCACCCTACACGCAATCTTAATTCAGCTTTACTTCGATTCAACCAATTATATTTTCAAGGTCAAGCAAAATGGACGCATCCAAATGTCATTAAAAATGTCACAAACACTATTCATAAGGTATAATTCCCCCAAAAATCATTTCAGTCTTGATTTATTTTGCGGCCGCAAAAATCACAAGTGAGCTGACCGCAAGCTGTTTGTTTACTACCGTGTGATTTGGATGCGTGTTTTTTTTTCCTCACAGTGACGGCAGCCATGAGTCACACTCGAAAGTAAAAGTGAAACTGGCACGCAAATCATTTAAGTGACCATATCGCTTTTTATAGTTATGATTATGACAAGCATTTGATTTGTTTTTCTTTTATAGTGAATACCAAGTGTTGTGCATGAAAATAAATGACTTCTGGGTCAGTATAACTACTCTAGCCTCTATAATGTTAAATATAATGCAGGAGATTTTCTGATAATGACAAATGCCTCATTTTACCAGTGAAAATTTGTCTAATAATGTTGTCAATGACAGACTGTAAGCATGTCTCAAACATAATAATTCAACATCAGAATTATGAATAGTTGTAATCCATCACTTTAAAGAAAATTGTGATTCTTATTTTAGCATGAATCGTGCAGCCCTAGTCATAACTGAATTGATCAATCTAAATTAACACTATAGTTGACCTTTTAACCAGCAGTATATCTCAAAATAGCAAATTATAATGTTATTCTCGAGACCCACCTGAGCTCAAACTGCCTTCTCGCCCTGCAAACGGGAGGGATGCATGCCCCAACTCGCTTTGTAATCAATCATCAGCTAAGTGTAAACTATTGAACATTAGCTTATAATTTATATAACTATATTGTTTGTTTATGAAATTACAAAAGCTTATTTATTATGTCAGGTTTTTAAAGTGTTTTCTGATGTTTTCTATGTTCTTGCTGGCTGTTGATGTAAGGTAATTTCGTTCTGCATTACATCTACTGTGATGTTTTGGATGACAAAATAAAGGAAACTGAAATGCTGACAGAAAATGTATTTTCGTGATTCTTTAATAAGCAAAGCACTTTGTTATGCTCTGTTTAACCTTACAACATGTTCATTGTAAAAAAAAAAGTGTTATGCTAATTAATTTGATTTCCAGAAAAAACAACAAAACAAAACATTGCTAAAAATAACATCACCACAAAGCCTCCACAGCACTTACAGTATAAAGCTTGCATCGGCTATAAAAACCCTGATTTTGGAGCATCCATCTCTATGATCCGAAAACTATTAAAAATATTTAAATACTACAAAATAATAAAGAAGAATACTTCAAAAATAAACTACAGGAAAATCAATCCTTCAGAAACAAGTAGTGAACTACCCTTCCGTGCTTTGACGTCATGACTCCAGCAATCTATACCCATGTAAATGACAACAGATTGTCCGATGTCAGGAAGCTCCAAGACCAAATGCAAGAAATGTTTAGTGGAGATATTATAGTGTAATCTGCTTTGCTTCTCTTTTGTGCTTATGTGTGGTATTTAATGTGCTGCTGGTTATGTAGCCACTGGTAATTCTTTAACAGATGGTTCAGAGAAGATGTCAGATTTTCAGCCAAGTAAGAATGAGCCCAGCCATGCACACGCATACAGTTCCCTACTGATACATGTGCAGATCCCTAAACACTCCGACTAACAGGCAAAAACACTGGTTTTAGGATTAAGATACAACCCGAGTTAAGATATAGCTCAGTATGGAAGGCCTAGATGGAAGCTGCACTTATTTTCGTCTGCACTGACACACTGCTGTTCGACAGTTTGTGGACATAAGAGATTTAAAACAAAAAAAGAACACTTTAATTTAACAAAAGAAACATTACATCAATCAAAAGCTACGAGAAAAAAATGACAGAACCACTCAAAGTCCCATTAGTTAGCATTAGTTGAGGATTTGATTAGATTTGAGTTTGAATGTATTGGACATTAACATTAAATAAAGCAGCATGCGTTCATTTAAATTTAATCTTCATGGTTTTTTTTCAGTAACAAGTGTTAGCAGATCATTGCTAACTTTTGCACTTCCCCCTAATCAAATCAGCATATTAGTGCGACCTATGAAGTAACATCTGACATCAAAGATTAAAGTTATGACTGTAAAAAATTTAGCTTTGCATCACAGCAATAAATTGCATTCTAAAATGTGTCAAAATAGAAAAAAGGCATTTTAATGTTGGGTTTTATTGTTTTAAACATTTGGGTTATTTCAATCTTGATCAAATAAATGCATATTTGGCAGAAATAAAAGGAAATCTTACTGACCCCAAACTTTTAACTGTTATATTAGAGAAAGAAAATGTGTTAAATCGATCAGAGTACACTTCCCTTAATGGTGAGCAACAGCATAACACAAACTAGTCTAAAATACTCTTAATAGTATTTGTAGACTAGTGAGTTACGGTTAGTAAAATAAGCTGAAATGCACTAGTAAAATAATGGTGTGACGGATCACAGATCAAACTATTTTTCAAATCAGCCAAATGGGGAAAAGACAAATGTAATTTGCTTTTTATTTATTATAAAAAGTTACAGCAAGTAACTTTTGGTTTTACCAAACAGAACTGAGAACCTGTAATTTTATTAAAAATAAAATGAAAAATCTGCTGAATAAAAATAAATTGTAAATACAATATTCAGTACTGTGAAAAATTCACTGTTACTACTACTGATGCTGATAAAACTAAATGTATAAAGTGTATATTTAGAATAAAATGTATATTTAAATGTATATTTAGTCTTATTTTCAATAAATGATTTAGTTATTCACTCATAAAACTTCATGTTTCATTGCCAGATGCATCATTTTTGAAGAATTATTCAGTGGCATATTTTGATGGCTGGGTCACATTTAACAACCTATTGGTTAAAAAAATATGATTTCTGCCAACTACTTTCATTTCTGAGCGTCAAGTTAAATGTATATGAAAGTGTTTTTAATCTCTACCATAAACATCTGTGGTTTAATCTAAACTTTAAACTGTTATCCCAGTACCTCTGTGTTATTGGACTGTTTGTAACTTCATATCTAACTCAAAAGACTAAAGACTGAATCTCTTTCTTGATTGTTGTGTTTTTCAAACACAGATTTAAATGCAGTGATTCGAAGGATTCATAAACATCTGCAAATCACTATCATATATAATTTAGGTTGCGTGGGTGTTGAGATCCTGATCTTTTAATGATTAATCGTGCAACTTACATAAAAAAAAAAAATTATTCGTAGGTCACATGTATCAACCGTGATTCGTTACACCCCTACACTTTACCTATTGACATTATTCTTAAGGCTGATTCACACAAGGCTTCAGCATCAACGTTGCGCAAAGTCTGCTATTGGCTACTGTCTGAGCTGGGGAATTTGCATAAAATGATCTGATTGGCTGACACTTCCGTTTGCGCTTAAAGTTGACATCACCTATTAAAATGCAAGATTCAAACAGGGCTTCAGTATCAACACTCGACAGAGAGTGTGTCTAAATTTGGGGCTGATGCAATCATCATAGCAGCGTCAGCCAATAAAAGTGCAGAATCGGCTACTGTCTGAGTTGGGGAATTTATATAAAGCGATCTAATTGGCTAACGTTTATGTTGATGCTTGGAAAGTTGAGAAATTCACAACTTCTGCAATGAGCAACTCCGCTGGAGCAGCCACAACAGACCCACAGTTCAGTTCGGCAACGTATGATGTCACCTAATCAAAGATCATGGGAAGCGTCGACACTGACGCCCCATGTGAATGGGGCATTAACGTACAAGTAGGTACAGCCATTGGAATCTCTTTGGCTCGAGACTTCTGGTCTCATTAAAATCAACTAGTTTGTCCATTTTCTGCCATTTATCATTTGTAGTCATTTCTCCCATAGGCAACTAAATCAGAAGTTCTAGAACAATCAAAAAAAAAAAAAAAGCTTTACTACCGCATAGTCAAAGTCAATACGATTAAAATAATAACTATTAGGAGTCTATGAAAAAAAAAGCAGTTGACAGATATTAGAAGGCAGCACACTAACACTCTACCAAGAGTTAGCTGACATGTAATTACAAAGTAACTTAGTTAACAGAATATCTAAATACTACCAAAATAAAGTTTCAAAAAAAATAACAAAAACCTCTTACTCACCTCAATACTGAAGTATCCCCTGTCTACATAATCGCCCAGAAAGAGATAGCGCGTGTTGTCAGGAGAACCACCAACTTCGAAGAGCTTCATGAGGTCAAAAAACTGCCCATGAACGTCACCACACACTACAGGTGAAAGACAAGCAAAACAGAATGATTAGCATGTTAGGTCGTTTTCAGTGTGATACATAAAGGCTTCATCATTTTGGATCAAAAGTCAATGTTGAGCACAAACAAAACTGTACAAGATTTCCTGTATCACATTTTATGAAATGCCTTAGGCAAGTGTGGGACTGGAATGAGACCAAACGCTTCAAACACTTACAGCCATCCTACCTGCATCATCTAGCCAGCAGCGGCCACATGTACAAGACCGCTCTGTCACTTAGCAACAACGACACTATATTTGAAAATACAGAGGCTGGATCCATTTATAAAGCAGAATGTATCTAAAGCCAGAGGGGTTTGTGACATCTATTAATTCGTGCTCAAAAGCAGCAATATCTATAGAGGACAGACAAGCTCTAATTCATCTGCATCATAAATTGTTCCACACAAACCTCGGCAGGAATTAAACCTTGAAGCACAACATGTTCATCAAATAATTGAGTAAGTTTCACAGGCTGTTTGTCACAGATAAGGCCCAGAGGATTTTATTACCCAGATGCGCTAGATTGTGATTCTCCCATATAATCGGCACATTTCCATCTATCATTATCTGTCACTCTCTTCTATCTGACAGATAACAGAAGTAAATGCCCGTGACTAATTTCTTAGCATGCCTTTTTTATATATAGACAGAGCGATTAGTGATGGTTGTCAACGCTTGACTCCCAGCCATTTAGTGATTTTCCTTATTGTTATATTTTTAATTATTCTAATGAGTGTACTTGTAAAAAAATCTCTGTATACAGTGAAAACAATCTTTTTAAAAAGGTTTAAACTAATCAAGACAACATTTATATACTCAAAAAAATATATATGTTTGATACTTGTTCAAGCTATCTATTTAAAATCAACTGAAACAAATCTTGAAACTTTTTGGGAAAACTTAACTGCTTTATGTTCAATCTATTTAAAGTGCTAAGTTAACCTAAATCAGAGGTGTCCAAACTCGGTCCTGGAGGGCCGGTGTCCTGGAGAGTTTAGCCCCAACCAAATACACCTGAACCAGCTAATCAAGCTCTTCTAGTTATACTAGAAACTTCCTGGCAGGTGTGCTGAAGCAAGTAGGAGCTAAACTCAGCAGGACACCAGCCCTCCAGGACCGAGTTTGGACACCACTGACATAAATGATTTGTGTTGGTGCAACATGAATGAATAGTGTTTAACACTGCATTTTTTACAGAGTATTAGATATTGACCAATATTAAAACTACTGGTGTGAACCTACACTGGTCTCACGGTTTGGTTTGGTTGTGATTATTATGTCTTCAATTCGGTTCAATTCGATATCTCGGTGCATCACGGTGCACTGACGCTGCTTTCCATACATAATTTTTTTTTATTTTATTTCAATGCATTACAATTCTTGACCTTAATTTTATAAATGTATTTATTATTTTTAATACATTTTTATCCTTCAATACAAGCAGTTGGATATATGAACTGCATTTTTAATTTAACCTGCTCAAAGAAAACGCTCTTTTTGAATTTTTTAAACAAAACTCAAATACAATCACAGAAGACAACATGAGCATTTAAAGCAAATCAACTGATGTAAATATTACTCAGCTTGCATTTTGAGCATAGTCGAGTGTGTTCTTACATCCCTATGATTGGTCATTGTGTTCACACATTCAACGGAAAAGGCTGTGATTAGTTCTACAACTGTCCGTGCTGTTCACCAATGAGTGACGCGGACCCTGAAAAATGCTCAGTAACAGTCTGTATGCGTGTAATAAAGCACACATTGCGCTGCTATCACAGCTGATTTATGATAGACGCCGTGGAGAAAGTGAAATAATGTCTCCTGGTTCTGCTATACTTCAATGTGAGTGAAACACAGTTATCTGCTTTTTAAGTAGTTGGAGCATTTTAATTACTTGTCCTTGCCTCGCTCGAATAGTATTCTACAGCGACAGTGCATATAAGATAAATGACATCAGTTTGTAATAATCAGCTATGATCTATTAATGAACCGATACCGAATTGTCCACTTCTTCATCGCAGTGCATCGAAGAAACAATTCATTTTGACAGCCCTAATTAAAAATATAGGACATAGAATAACTATATGTATTATTGTGATGTTATGTCTAGAAATGAGAAACAGTTGGGTTCTAGAAAATAAATTCAGTTTGAATTTAGTTTTTCAAATAAATTATGTATTAAAAAAAAAAAACATGCAACTTAAAAATTTTTAAAGACATGCTTGTTGTGAGCCGCAAGACTGTTAATCAACACTTTTTTCTTATTAAAGCCTTATAATAAGTACCTTTGTTCAGAATTCATATATTTTTTTGCTACATATCAAAGTTTGTAAAGTTGCATTTCACCTTCTAGCTGGTTAGTTTGGTTTATGGCTTAAACACTACAATAAAGACCTTATTTTAAAATTCAATTACTCAAACAATAGCCTAGCACTAATGCACCTATATTGATCAACTGTTTTCTTTTAAATCATTTCAAAGGATTTGAGGCATTACATACAGAATAATTAACGGACATTTGAATTATACAATAAATAATGTGCACCTGAGGTATGATGCCTTTACACATTAGCTGTGTGTATTTTTTTCTAATATTTCAACGAACTAGAGCCAACTATTTATCTTAAACTATGGTTACCACACACTATTCAGACATTTATCAGATTTTTGTCCTCAAACAGCTCTCGTGTGATTATTACACATCTCATCCAAAGCCTTGTGTTTTGTTGTGATTAGATTATTGACATGTGTAGGCTGTGAAATAACTAATATCGTTCAGCATAGTGATCTATAACAGTAATGTGATCAAAACCATGCTGTTCAGAATCAAGCATTCAACAGCCCTGTATTATAAAGCAATATAACGTACAAAGTAAAACATGTATAAATGTTGTATATTTAGTAATGATTACCTTAACAGCTTATTATAAATAATAACTGTCTGTTTTTAAAGATTAACATCAGCTGATTACCAAGGTAACATGCAAACAGCAAAATGGCCATGCACAATCAAATATATGCTATATTAGCAAACTCAAACGATATCATTAAAATATAACCCTATATAAAATTCCCCTATAAGTTAAGTGTACTCAATTGCAGTATGAATGCTGCTATTATCCAGTCAGGCTCATTTGCACTTTAAACTGCACTTATTGAAGTTTTTCTGTAGTGCAATTAGTCAACTTTTCATTCAGGAAACTCTGGGTTTAGCTAATTAGTTTTTGCACATCCCTTCTAATGTCCAGGGAAGCGTTACAGACCACATTCCGCGTCAGAATCGAAGACTGTTTCCTGTGTTGCACTCCACTGATCCGCAGACAGTATCTGTCAGTAAAACCAGCGGTGCTGACACCGATCTCCATATGAGTCACTTGCCACGAGCTGAATCTCCAGAGTGACAGTTTGTAACACTGAATTAGGTAATCTCAGCAAAGAACTGAAAAGAAATGCCAGCGTTTGCCTGATGAAACTGTTTTTACAGATGGAGCATAAGGCCTCCTTGAAAAGTTACTTATCAACCAAACCAATCGCTTTACGATTTATTATTTTATTGTTGGCTGAAGGAGCACACTCTTGTGCCAGTGAACTATAATAATGAGTATTTGAAACGTTGCATGAAGTTTCCATGAGGAAAAGCTCCTTCTTCAGTTATTTTTTTTTTTTACTTCAGGAACTAGGTCCAGGGCAGAGCAGAACAAACGCAAAAGTTCCTTCTAATAAAGACAGATGTCACCTCCCTTGAGCTCTACTAAAGATGTGCTCTTGCTTTCTTACCAGTAATTGGTGCCTCCACCTCTAACATGCACTTCTCCTGGCGTAGGATGTTGGCACCGTCGTTTATGATGCGCAGCGCAGCATCCTCCTCCACACGTCCCTCTTTGATCAAATGGTTCTTCAGCAGCTCAGTATTGGGCTTGCCGTCCACATATAGGTCTTTTATTGTCAATCGCTGGTGAGGAGGCAGTGGCACTGCTGTAAGTACAAGAAAAGCAAAAAAAATCAGTTGACAATGTGGACACTCAACTCTAACATGATATCTGTATGGGAACAAGATTGCAAACGGTGGTTCAAATGTACTTTGTGCACATTAATAGAGGTAAAGTGTCAGCTAAAATTAAATTGATTCTTATGGCGAACAGCCATGAGCCCTGTAACCTCCTACATCCACTAGCTCTTACATGTCTACATCCTATCCAGAAGTGTGATGTCCAGTCAGTAAGAGAGTAACAAATCACAGTGAATCACAGTATATCACAAATTTATTTTCCAGAACCTTCGCATTCACTGTTTCTTGCTGAAGCAAGAAACTACCTTCATTCATTCATTCATTCATTCATTCATTCATTCACATCTGCTTTTCCGGGCCAGGTTGCAGGGGCAGCAGTCTTAAAAATGAACCCCAGACTTCACTCTTCCCAGACGCTCCCTCCAGCTCCTCCGGGGGGATCCCTAGGTGTTCCCAGGTCAGCCGAGAGACATAAATCCTCCTTTGTACACAAAATATATTGTGTACAATGGGGAAAAGGTTTTGTTTTTTTCTCAGACATTTAAGAAGAATATATTTAGAGCAGTGATCATAATAGGGTATATGCCGAAGTATGCTAAAGGACTTTTAATTTGACAGTGACCTGGGTTAAGCGTTTTCGATGAACTTTATACTACTGCAAAATCGGTGCGTTTAAAGTCTGTTTTCTTTAAAACTAAGAGATCTCCACATGCTGAGTGATATCCAATATAAAGTGGGCCTCAGATTATACAAGAACAGCATTAAATTACATTTTCCCCATCATGTCTTTAAAATATGAACATTTATTTTACTCCAGTTTTTCAATAGAGCTTCTTTGCTAGCCTGCCGATCCTGGCAGGCGCGTGCGAGTAAAAGGCTTTTCGTCTTGTTTTAAATAAATGCCAAAGTCTATTAAACTGATTATATTTTAATTACATTACAACATCGATGCTGTAAAAGGAACCGTTTAAAATGGAAAAAAAGTCACTTTAACCGTTCGCCGGAGGTTTAAAAGTATGGGAAGAAACAATAGCATATACCCTATATCGTGATACTGTGAAACCATGATATTTATATCCAACCGTCAGAATCTTATACCGGCCCATGCCTATACTGTAATACAGCGGTTCTCAAACTTTTTTCATCAAGTACCACCTTAGAAAAAAATAGTCTCTCCAAGTACCACCATAATGAGCAGTATTGAAATACAATAGCGTAGTAGGCCTAGTACAGCAGCTACAACTCTGCACAGTTAAAAAAAACGTGGCAGATCACCTCAGAAATATAGGCTATATGTCATATATGGCATATTATATACATAATTTTTGATAAAATTTGAAATATATGTAGCATGTACATGACATATTTCATTCCTCTGTGTACCACTAGAAGGAAGTCCGCATACCACTAGTGGTACATGTACCACAGTTTGAGAACCACTGCTGTAATAAATATTTTGTTCAAGATTTGTTCATGTTAGTAAATTAGTACAACCTTATTGTAATGAATTACCAAATATTTTAAATGGGCATCATTTTTGGACAATTATACTGACTATTTTTGCATTTTGCATCAAGTCTTTAATGTTTACAAAATGTTGAAAAAGCTATTCGATAATGTCGTGGTGCATAAATTCACATAATAAAACAAAAAGAATGCTTTTCACTTTTATTTTAAGGTTTCTTTTAAAAAATACATAGTCAACTTTAGGGTTTACACTTAAATGCTGTGCATACAATGGTTATTGTATTGATGAATGTTGATGATTGTTTACATCTCCCAAGGTACATCCTCAAGAAAAAAATAATAATAGTAATTTTAAAAAAAACAAGGTCATAGAGATGATGTATTTTCAGATCTTCTCTTTATTAGCTGCGCTACTCTCTCTGGAGCATCATGACATTTGCTGCTACTGGGGCTAATAAGAAAAGTTATGTTATCATGGGGATTCTATTGATTCAGCTCTCAGCTTTAACCTTCACAGACGTGAAAGGATCCTGAGATGTCGCCCAATAATCCCTCACCTGCACTGAACTGCCGGGTAATCTAACTCCACCAAATCCCTCTGCGAAAGTGCAGAAGTTGCCATAGAGAGGCCTGTGGCTCAAGGCGTTCAATAATGAGATGGGAATTTTATGATTCAAGGTTCCTCAGGAGCTTAAGAGCTTCTATAGGATGTAAACAGTCATTTCAGAAGATTACACACATATTGCGAAGATATATCAAGAGAATGATAGAAATATATGCTAATATAGAGCACTGTGCAAAATGGGGATGCAATGATTATAGGTTTTGTTGGCACGACTGTGAAGTACTGTAGAAAAAATAAATGGCAGTGATTTTAACTGCAAAAATACAACAGTAAAATTATATCACCTGGTTAACTGTACGTTTTGTTAATACTGTGAAAAGCTGTAAACGGACTTTTCCTAAATTTCGTGCTTGACATGTAGTGTATGTTTTTTTTTTTTCAACTTTTTGTCTGGTGTTTTTCAGCTTTTTTCCTCATCAGTGATGTACATTATAGTTTTATGTTACATCTAATGTTGACAAATAATGCTTATTGCATTAGTGTCGGGTGCATGATGGTCTTGACACTGAGTGCCTTCTAAAACACTAGTTTCTCTGCTTGCGTTTGTAACAATATTAATATAACATAACGAATGATATAATATTTTTGATGAGCATTGGCTCATATGTTGGTACTTCAAAAAACATTAGTGTATTAACACTGTGAAATGAATGAAATACAGTAGTTTATCATAAATTAAAATACCTCTCATGTATTCTTCAATATTTTAATAGTACAATTATGGTAACGACAGCTACCAGTTTTTTACCGTAAACATATGGCTGTGCAATATGATGATATATATCATAAGAATTAAATATAAAGGCTATTATTTCATATTTCGCTCTATTGTTTACTTTGTGGCATTGCAAAAAACATTCATTATTACAGTAATACTTTATCACCATTTTAATGACCGCAATCTTAGGAGCCGATCACACTGAACGTACTTTTCCGCAAGGCATTTTGCCATTTGTATGTCACTACGGAACAACTGAATCGGCTGCGTATTGTACGCATGTGTTGCTGTTAATATTAGTTTAATTTTAATGTTTGATAATATTGTGAAATGCAAGATTAGCCTGGTTTATACTTCTGCGTCAGGTGACCGGCGTAACCCACGGCACATGCGACGCGCTTGGCTGTGCATTTATACTTCTGCGCGTTGGTCTCTGTTGGTCTGCATTAACACTTCTGAAACGCTAGTTGGCAGTGAGGTGTAAATGTTCCTCTTTGTCGAGTTTCTTCGCTAATGTTTTGCTTTTCCTGAACACTTCCGGGATGTACAAGTGGCTCAAACTCGCTCATTTTGAGGCAGGAACCGGCGGACGAGCAACAACTTTAACTATGAGGTAAACACAAAACAAAACTTTCCATCCGGAGCTCCTTCACGGGACTCCACACTTGTAAACAATCGCTCCATCAGGCTCGCACCATTCACGCGGCTATAGGTCCCAACCAGACTCGTCAGCGCTACCAAGCCGACCAATCACAGAGCTTGCGCTACGCGTCGTTGCAACGTGTAGTTACATTTTTTTAAGAGGTGCACATCAGCCAAGGGCTATGCGTCAGCCCCGTAGCATACGCTAGCGTTTGACGCCTTTAAAAGTCTCTGTAGTTGTCTTGACAACAAAAACACTGCAGGCACTTCAACGGAAACACCCCACAGGCGGAGTGTTTTAATTTGAATGGCAAATGAAAAAGACACGACTTATGTGCTTTTTCCGCTCAGAGTTGACTTTATTCAACTGCACACTGCGCGCAACAGCAAAAACACAAAGCGCAGTAAGTTGTAAAAATGCAAGGCACACAAGGAGCATAAGCAGCACAAAACACTTGCGGCCATTAGTAAATCACTCAAAATGGCGCCTCTCAACGCTTTCAGTGTGATTCTCTCTGACCCTTCATTCGGGATGCTTTTTATAAACGCCCCATGACAAACTAATTAAATAGCCCAGCATTTTTTTCTTTAACTTGTTTACCCATTTCATAGGGTACTGCTTGTTCAGTGTACACGAGAACTGTCAACAGTCCCACAGACAGTCTCACATGCTCTGCAGACCCACAGAGACGCACCTTTTTGGAACTTCAAAATGCCTTTGGCCCGGGTTTCTAAATCTCCTAAAACATACGTGATGCATACGTGATGCAGCTTTCTAAAGTTGTCGTTAATTGTATGCGGTACTAAATTACTTTTTATTTAAGCTTACTTTTGCTTGGCATCGCAAATGACAAAGCACACACAGCCGAGATGGAAAGAAACATTAAATAATTAAATCTTTAATAAACGACTCAGAAAAATTTGACTATATACACAGAGAGAACGAAATGGCATCTTAGCCTGGCTGCAAAATATTAGTACACCATTAGAAATGGTTAATCAACTAAAGTGCATTATTTAAATAACCTACACCACCTACATAGTGATTTAAGTTTGTCGAATTGTCCAGCGCTAATCTAAAGAATAATCACGGTCTCACAATTATTACACATTCATTCATTTCACACTACTACGTTTATAAAAATCACATAAAAAAATAGTTTAACTTCTGTCTTTGGAAACAAAAATAACCCATTATTATTTATTTTATTTTATTTTATTATTATTATGCAATTACAAATGAAAATAACACCACATTACACATAACACTGTGATCAAATAATAAAGCAAAAAAATGTTTGGAATAAGTTGGCTGCTGCTCTGTTAACATCAATGTCAGTCTTAAAAACATCATACTTATTTTTAATAATCTTTTTAATAATTCATACAAATTGGCTGACAGGAAATCTGATCTCACCATCATCATCCAGACCATCTGGAAAGGCATGAAGGATCAGAAACTAAACAGAAAGGCTAAACCCAGAAGGACTGCTGGAACATCTTCACCAAATCTA